ATGGTTGCACATTGGAGAATAAATTCATAAAAGATGAAAGATTGCACGCCCAATTTGAAGGCCCGCAATTTTCTCATGCATTTGGGAGGGCCCCCTATTGGGATCTCAAATTTAATGTATGAATTACGCGTAGTCAACTTGAATTTTTAAAGACCGTACTTAGTGTTATGAGTGAATCTAGCTACTTGGGTCGAGTCTTGAAATTATAGAGATTTGGACCTCGAAAACGAGGAAGAGGAGGATGAAGCCCATTGTGGTTAACTCGTAGCCGACTCATGGGTTATGATTGGTTGACCCATGGGTTGGGTGAGGCCCAATTAGGGTGACACACACGAGCCCAGATATGGATTGACCAAAACTCATATGGTTGACTTGTACATGGGTCGGACCGGTTCATTATGCTCGAAAGAACATTGAGTTTGCAATCTAAGAGTTACGCTTAAGTGGAAGAGCGGTTCAAATTCTCAGCCATCAATTTCAGTAAGACTCTTAAAAGTCAATTAAAAATCTAAGAAAACCATAATTACGGAATATTTAGATACTTATATAACGGTTTAAAAGCATGGAATAGATTAAGTTTTTGCGACAAAAGGGTGATACTGTACATTTAAAAAATGTGTAATTTTTTGCGCTAGACCCAAAAAATATTTTTTTTATTCTCTATTTACAAAAAAATATGATATCGATTTGAGCATTAGAGTATACGTAGTTTCGAACTTTCCTTCAATATATAAATTTACATTTGAAATAATAAGAACAAACAACATATAATTACATGTGTTGGATGATGAAAGTTCCACAAAGATTATTTTAGGGAATAATCATGAGTTTATAAACAAAAAAATATTATCTCCATTATTACGAGGCTTTTTGGGGAATCTCAAAACAAAGTCACGATAGCTTATGCTCAAAGTGAACAATATCATATCGAGAGTCGTGTTTGTCTAACAACATGAAAAACAAACGACACGTGACAATCGAATTCACGAAGAAAAGTAATATAAACATCCATTTTTCGGTTTTTTAACGAGGAAAATGATGAAAATTAATTTAAATTCATTATGAAATTAATTTCCAGCCTTCAATTTGCAACATTTTGGCGAGAATAATAAAAAGAAAAATTGCGACAGCCCACCAAAAAACGACACCGTTAACTGGCTCACAATTTATTTTTTAATTTTTAATTTAATTTTAATATGAACCACATTTTGTTGGGCCCAGCGGCAGGCAAATCGGCCTCATGCCCATAGGCTATGTGTTATGGGCCTATAACCTCTGGAATCTAGTGCCTATGTCGGCCTCATCATATTTTTCAACAATTTTTAAGAGATTAATTAATGAAATAATTATGTAATTCAACCATGGTTATTTTTTTTATTAATGACTAATTAATCTTCCTTATCATTAAATTACTAAAATTTATTACCACATTTTACTCTTTGATTAGGAGAATCATTTCTTTTAACTATTTTATCTGTGTTAATTTGCTAATTTTAAATATGTTAATTAATTAATTAATTAATTAATTCTTCTATATTATTTGTATCATTTAAAATATTTTCAATTTGAAAGGATTTATTTATATTTAATTAATTAATTCTCCAATTATCTGTCACTATAATTTTCCGCTCTCTCAAATTTAAGAGAAATTGGGCCAGGATGTGGGCTGCTTGAATTACGGATCAAATGAATAGAACACTGAATTGGGCCAATGAGAAATGGGCTTAATCGGGCCCACGTAAAACCAAATGGGCTAAGACAACATTGAAAGTTCCAACCAAGCAGCAGCTTCCACGTTTTACGTTGTATCCCGCACCCAAAATTTGTCTGTTTTTTATCTGGACCGTTGGATTTCAAATGTTGAAAGGGCAGTTGGATATTTAAGCGACACGTGGCAACCTTAATTGAAACATAACGCACAGCCTGGAATTTGTCCTTTTATAATTTATTAATTTTAAGATATATTTATTTAATGTGATATCATAATCTATAAAACAATATCCAATTAGCTTTGAGCAATAGATAAATGTTTTAGTTTAATGATAAATCATGTAATAAAGAGATGTCATTTTTAATTGAATTATTTAATTTGGCAAATTAAATTAGTTTAGTTTTTAAGTATATAACTATTTAATTTTTTTTCTTTTATTTTAAAACAATTTATTTATAACAAATTTTATATTTCTTAGCAAAATAAAAAATTCTTTACCAAAATCAATGAGGTTAAGGAATGAAACTCAGGCTTAAATTATTTAAGTTTTGATTAATTTTTTTGAAAGTTTCACGGATTTTAATTTTTTTTTTAAATGAAAAAAATTGAAAATTCAACTCGGTCAAGAGATCAACCGTTCCAAGGTTCAAAATTGTCAACTACAAAGAGCCCATAACACATTGAAAAATTACCAAAGTGGACATGAAATAAGACGAGCATTAGTAAATGCTTGGGAGTCTAAGCTTAGTTGTTCTTCATTTTACTTATAAACCATTGGGTTTTGAGAAACATATTCTAAATTATAATATTTAAATAAATAATTCGATTTGATTTCAGTTGGCTTTATTGGCTCGATTTAATTATTTTGAACTATTACATAGTCGTTTCTAATGTAATTAAGGTAAGAAAATGTTTGATTATTTTGAACCATCACATAATTGTTTCTAATGTAATTAAGGTAAGAAAACGTCAATATAACTAATGTTTTGGACAATTATTAATTTTAGTACCATTAGGATTGGTTTTAGGATAGTTAAGATATGCTACTACGTGAATAGTCTATAAGTTTGGTTTTATGAATGAGATTATCATAGGTGAAGTTGAACCTATGAACGATCAATTAGGGTGTGCTTAGGCATCAGATTTAGCCTAAAAACAACAAGAGAGCTCACGGTTGGAAAGTATACATATTTTTAAAGTGCCTTAGTTAATATTTTTAAATACTCACTTATATTTATTATTTTTTCAAGTAAAGGTAAATGACCTACGCATGATTGATAGTGTTTGTTGAAGAGGTCCAAAAAACAAAACCCTAAACAGTTTATTGTGTATTTTAACTATGTGATAATAAGTCACGACTTTCTATAATGGCAAATTTATGAATATGTAAGTTGTTGATCATTTTTAATATAACATATTATTAAATAGTTATTAAAAAAAATCAATCGCACATATACGTATTAATAATCATTATTAAAATAATTATATCAGGTTTTCTATATATAATATATAATTTGGAAAATAAATCAAATCTTAATTAAAAATAGAGTTGAATCAATAAAATTTAATAGAAAATTTTAATTCTATGCATGAACTAAAAATTAATGATTTTGAAAACGAGTCGCATCATAGTCACCACGATAAAGAAATATTCCAACCTTATACTTTTTCGAGAACTAAGATTTAACCATTAACTTTGAGATCGATACTTCACAATTTATCTATTAAATTGTGTTTTGATTAATGGTTTTTTTTTTTCTCTCTAATTTTTATTTTTTTTAATGTACATATATTTTTAATTTTTAAAGTTACGTTGATGGGAAGAATTTGTAGAAATATCCCCCACCCAAATTTAATTTCTGTCACATGATTCCTTAATTTCGTACTAAAAGATCCAAATTAAGATATTTTTTCAATATTTACTCTTTATTTTCTTTTATTGTTTTTTTTCCTTCTTATAGCTAATATTTTAATATCTATTCCACGCTTTTATTTTCTTTATTTCATTTTGTTTTTTCGTTGTTTTAAGATATTCATAATTCCTTAATGCATCCAGGTAATGAATAAAACTTAATTATAATACGATAAACATGTTGTAAAAGAATTTTTTATTAATTATTCAAAGTTACAAATAAAATAAAATATCATACTGGATAACAAATAAAGCCTGATTATATATTTTAATCAAAGTGAGACAAAACAATTATTAAATTATTTGAAAACAATACATATAACAATTAAAATGAATAAGCGAATATTCTTGATGGGTAAAACAAGGATGAGCGACGGGATACCAAGAAAACTCTGGTATAATTAGACAATCTATCATTTTGTGTCGATGTTAATTGCAAGAACTCCTTTCTATCTTAGAAACAAGAACAAAAAATACTAACACTTATAGCCTTCACTAATAAACCAAAAGTTGAACTATTTCCGAGCTGAATACAACATCCTTATGCACTCATTCCACGTGTTCGGTGTCGTTGGTATATTCGGTGGCTCCCTATTGAGTGCTACGCAAAAAAAATAATAAATAAAATCTTACCATTCTGGGCACAGTTAAAAATTTGAAAAGTAACAACTTAAGCCTACATCCAGCAAATATTGTTCTGTTTAGGCTTTTACAGCCCGTCAACATTTTTAAAACATCAGCTAGTAAAAGGTTTCCTCACCCTTATAAAGAGTGTTTTGTTCTCCTCTCCAATCAATGTGGGATATCACAATTCACTCCCTTTCGAGGCTCAGTGTCCTCGCTGACACTCGTTCCCTTCTCCAATCGACGTGAGACTCCGCAAATCCACACTCCTTCGGAGCCCAGCATACTCGCTGACACATCGCTCGATATTTGCTCTGATACCATTAACTAATTAGGTTTTCATTGTCATTTGAGATCCCACATCAGTTGGAGAGGAGAACAAAACACTAGAAAAGACAATTTTAAAAAACTTGAAAGGAAGTTTGAAAAGAAAAGTCTAAAGAGGATAATATCTACCGCCGATTTCTTGAACTATAGTTTAACTAAAGAAGATCATCCAAAATCAGGGCTTCAAAGGTAATGTAAATAATTCCAGTCTTTATAGTCAATTAACCATTAACTATGAAGAGAAAGTAGGTAAGGAGCAGCAAATAATGAAGTTCTGAAAAGTAACGGTCTGAATCTTCTAAAGAGAATTTAGGAGAGATTCATTACTACGCAACTTATTGGGTTTATCTGTAGCGGCCCCTTCACGGCTTGAACGAGTCTTATCCATTGCCTTTCTGTCAACTTAGTTGTAAAATTAAACAGAATGAGTGGCCTTGGCATCAGCTTTGTCAATCTCCACATGAAAGAGTTATTTGTTTCCGTCTTCAACCTTTGAATTGTCAAACTTTCCCCATCAAACCATTTAATCTCTCCTTCCTAAACCCCAATGACTTTGCTTTACTCCAAACCTGCAAGTCACTTACTCTCCCAAACTTTGAGACCTTCCCCTACCATTCATGATTTCCAAGTCAATCTCATAGGCAATCTGAGTTTTTCCACAAAATTGACCAATTCCAGATCTTCTGTTTGCTTAAAGCTGACCCATGTTTTCTTCTTTGGAGCACTTTGTTTTCTTACATAGTCACATGGCTATAGCCTTTGCAGCTCCTTTGGCTCTTCTTTCTGTGCTCCTCTTTTTGGCTGCTCATTCTGTGCAGTCTTCATTTCCCTACCATGGATTCAATGACACGGAATTTGCTCTTGATGGAGCGCTTGTTCTGAATCCTTCTGGTGCGTTGAGGCTCACCAATCGATCACGTAACGTTATAGGGCATGCATTCTATCCGACTCCATTCCAGATGTTTGATAAAAATTCTGACCCATCTGCAAATGTGTCATCCTTCAACACAACTTTTGTTTTTGCAATCAATCCATCGAGCCCCGGACAAGGTGGCTACGGTCTGGCCTTCGTCTTAGCTCCATCAACCAATTTTGAAGGTGCAGATAGTAAACACTTCCTTGGATTATTCAACTCTTATAACGATGGTAACCCTTCAAACCATATATTTGCTGTTGAATTTGACACTGTAAATGGGCATGAGGAAGACAAGAACACCAAAGGGAATCATGTTGGGATCAATATCAATAGCGTTTCATCAGTTGCATCCAAACCTGCTTCTTATTCCAACTATGGCGATGCTAATGAAAAGGACTTGCAAATGGATTCTGGTGATGCTATCATTGCTTGGATTGAGTATGATGGCCCCAACAAAATTGTGAACGTCACCGTAGCTCCCTTCACAAAACAGCAAAAGAAACCAACAGATCGACTCCTTTCCCATCAGATTGACCTGAAAGATGTTCTAAAGGAACAAATGTTTGTTGGCTTCTCGGCTTCAACAGGAGACCAAACAAGCTCTCATTACATTTTGGGATGGAGTTTTGCGGTGAATGGACCAGCGCCGTCGTTGAATTACTCTCTCCTTCCCAACCCTCCAAAAGAGCAAGATCTTGTTCCTCCGCCATCCAATTCCCACTTCAAGGTACTCATAGCAGTTTTTTCTGTGGTGACCATTCTAGGAATCTTTTTCTTAGCTTTCTGGTTTAGAAGAATGTGGCAAACTGAGTGGCTTGAGGATTGGGAACGAGACTGTCCTCATAGATTCAACTACAGAGATCTTTACACAGCAACAAAAGGATTCAAAAACAGCGGGCTAATTGGAATTGGGGGGTTTGGCTCAGTATACAAAGGTCAGATACGTTCAACTGGAATTGAGATTGCTGTGAAGAGAGTTAGAAAATACTCGCGCCAAGGAATGAAAGAATTCGCAGCAGAAATCGAAAGCTTAGGACGACTAAGACACAAAAACTTGGTGAATCTCCAAGGATGGTGCAAGAAAAGGAACGATCTACTCATAGTTTACGATTATATTCCAAATGGAAGCCTCTATTCACTTCTATATCATCCAAAAAACAACAACATATTGAATTGGAAACAGAGATTCAACATTCTCAAAGGAATTGCAGCAGGATTATTGTACCTTCACGAAGAGTGGGAGCAGGTAGTGATCCACCGAGATGTGAAGCCAAGCAATGTTCTAATAGACGCCGACATGAATGCTCGATTGAGCGATTTCGGTCTCGCCAGGCAATACGACCACGCCGAAGAATCGTACACAACCGGCGTCGTCGGCACGATTGGCTACATAGCGCCGGAGTTGGTACGCACCGGTAAGGCTTCGAAAAACACCGATGTGTTTGGCTATGGAGTTTTGCTTCTGGAAGTGGCATGTGGAAGAAAGCCTCTGGAATCGGATCAGTTCATACTGGTGGAATGGGTGATGGAATGCTATGAAACGGGACAGATCCTTTATGCGGCTGATCCGAAGTTGAATTTGGTTTATGAGGTTGAAGAAATGGAGATGGTGCTGCAGTTAGGGCTTCTTTGTACTCACCAGAGACCAGAAGCTCGGCCGACCATGAGACAGGTCACGAGGTTCCTTCACGGCGACGATCCAGTTCCAGCGGTCGACGATTGGGCTTGTTCCCAAACTTACTCCAAATGTAACTCGAGAATTACTGAAGTGATTTCAGCAAGGTCTTATCGTTCCTTGTCCATTGGCGCCATTTCTTCTAGCTCCATAGACGCGGGCCGGTAGTTACCATTTTACCCTTCTTTTATCCTGTTTTTAAATATTGTAAAAATATTTGTTTTAATTTTTTTTAAATTACTCCGTAAATATTATTTCCATCTTGAATATTTATGGGCATAATTGAATTTTTGAATAATTAATTAATTAAAGCAAATAAACTCATAGTCGAAAGCAATACACAAAATACTCTCTCAATTTTAAATCATAAATTTAAAATTTTGATTTATATATTTTAATTAAAAATTAAAGATTGAAATTTATAATGGCAATAAATTCTATAGATGGGGTTAAAAAGAGTGGTTTAGCTCAAATTTATAATTTTTTAATGGCCCAAAAACCACAATTGGGCCATTTTATTTAATAATTCTCCATAAATGTTTAAATTTTAATTTAAACATAAACTTATTTTAATTAAAATCCATTGGTTTTATTTTAAACCCATCTATATATCTAATATCGTCACATTTTCATTAAATATTTGATAAATTGACGAGTCGTGATATAAGAATATTTTACTTATTTTAATTTGTAAATTGAATCATTCTTATTAAATTTTTTAAATTTTTTGAAAGAAAGATTATATTTTTCTAATTATAATTGACGGACTTAAATTTTAAAAATATTTCCATTGGAGTGTTGAAGAAATAGGACGAAGATGGAGACAAGATACTTTTTCATTTATGTTTCTCGATAAAGATTCACAATTTAATCTTAATTACTAATTAAAAATATTTAATTAAATAATTATTTTGTAAAGATAAATCATGGATAAAGTTAGTGAAAATAATATCTTAGTGTGAATAGAAAATGAGGTGGGGCAAAGAATTTATTTTCGTCTCTATCCTTGTCTCCGCTCACATTTAGAGTTTTACCTTCTTTTTATTTCATATTAACCGAAGTATGTATCTAAAATCCAATTCCTCAAATTTAAATTTAAAAACAGTTTATAATCAAAACATTAAAAACTTTCGATTTAACTCATAAATTAATCTAATTTAGATTTCATTTTTAAAGTTTTTTATTTTTGTACTTTCAATAAAAATAAAAATAAATTTAATTTTTAGTTTATTTTAAATTTGTTTAAAAAAAATTAGTGTATATTAGCTTTTTATTTATAAATTTAGAAAATATGTTATTTTTTATTCTTTAAATTATTATCCATTTAAACCAACTTTAATAAATATATTAAAAATTAGATGATAAATTTTAAATAACTAAAAAAAAAAGTTCCAAGGATGTGGAAAGTTGAAATATTTTTCTCATTTATTTATTATTTTTATTTTTTAATTTCAAAGAAAGCAAACGGAACACGAAATGAGGAAGAGAGAGGAGCCCTATGGTCAAACTAAATGAAAGCAACTCACCGTTTTTCACAGTCAACCTTCTTTACGCGACTCCGCTGAAAAACATTCAACTCCTCCGTCCCTCAACCCAATTCCTTCAAGATCGGTCAAACAAATTCTCTTTATTGATGAACAACACCGCCCCGCCGGTACACATGGCCACCGGAACTCCGCCGTGGCTGAACACCGGCGACAACTCTTGGCAGATCACAGCCTCCACTTTGGTCGGACTTCAGAGCATGCCCGGCCTTGTAATTCTCTACGCAAGCATCGTTAAAAAGAAATGGGCTGTGAATTCTGCGTTTATGGCGCTTTACGCCTTCGCCGCCGTTCTAATCTGTTGGGTTCTGGTCGGCTACCGAATGGCCTTCGGCGATCAGCTGCTTCCTCTGTGGGGTAAAGGGATTCCAGCTCTGGGGCAAAGTTACCTAATTGACCGAGCCAATATCCCTGAAAGTGGCCATGTAAGCCACGACGGAAGGGTAACGCCGAGAATTGAGCCGAATATTCCGATGGCTTCTCTGGTGTATTTTCAGTTCACCTTTGCTGCGATTACTGTGATTTTACTTGCAGGCTCTGTTCTTGCGAGAATGAACATCAAAGCCTGGATGGCGTTTGTTCCTCTTTGGGTAATTTTCTCCTACACCGTCGGCACCTACACGATTTGGGGCGGAGGGTTTCTCTTCCAATGGGGCGTGATTGATTACTCCGGCGGCTTTGTTATTCATCTTTCTTCTGGAATTTCTGGCTTAACCGCCGCTTATTGGGTAAAATTACGAGAACTGAACGGATTTTGCTTGTTTTTGAATTGGGGGTTTTTAATTTTTGTTGATTTTCATTAGGTTGGGCCGAGGATTAAAAGTGACAGAGAGAGGTTTCCGCCGAATAATGTGTTGCTGATGTTGGCCGGAGCTGGGATGTTGTGGATGGGGTGGTCGGGATTTAACGGTGGCGCACCGCACTCGGCGAACGTGGTGGCGTCGATTGCGGTGCTGAATACGAACGTGAGTGCAGCGACGAGCCTGCTGGTTTGGACCATTTTGGATGTGTTCTACTTCGGGAAGCCATCGGTGATTGGAGCCATTCAGGGTATGATGACTGGCTTGGCTTGCGTTACCCCCGGCGCAGGTAAATTTTATTTTATTACTTAAATTACCAAATTCGTTAAAATTAATTTCTGCAGTTTTAAATTCTAGTAAATATACTTTAATAGTAGGGGCTATTGACATTTATAATTTGACTATCAAATATTAATTATTTCACTAGAAAAATAAAATAAAATTTAATTGAGTTTGTTTTTTTTAGATGAAATTAAATTTTATTTAATGTTAAAGATGAGTATACTTAAATTATTAAAATTTTCGACCAAATTACCAGTTTTGTTTTATATTAATCTAAATTTTAAATTAGGTGCTTAATAGATTCTTAAATACAATTTGTTAGGTTTCTCATCATTAATTAAAAAATTTATTAGATCTAAATTTAAAATTTTGATATTTGTACGATATTAATTTTTTTTTTTTTAATTAGGTTATTAATATTTATAGCAAATAATTTTATAACAGGAGTCGTGCAGACGTGGGCAGCTATTATAATGGGAGTTATGGGAGGGAGTATTCCATGGGTATCTATGATGATTCTCCACAAAAAGTTGAGTTTCTTGCAAAAGGTTAGTTTTTCTATCTTTTATATTTATTTTCCATGTAAATTTATTGTTAATTATTCTAAATTTTTAATTTTGTATTGGATATAACTAAAAAGAAATTAATTGATTTATTAAATATAAATTTCGTGTCTCTTAAATTCTTAATTTTTTAAAACACTTAAATATTTAAAGAAAAATAAATAATTTTAATTTTAATTTTGTCAGATGATTTGTATTTCAGGTTGACGACACGCTTGGCGTATTTCACACGCACGCGGTAGCGGGAATGATGGGCGGGCTTCTAACGGGCCTTTTAGCAGAGCCCACTCTTTGCGAACTATACCTACCGATCCCCGACAGCCGCGGTGCCTTCTACGGCAAAAACGGCGGCGTTCAGTTTCTGAAGCAACTGGCTGGAGCCATGTTCATAATCGGATGGAACATCGTCTCCACCACCATTATTCTCCTCTTCATTCGGCTGTTTATGCCGTTGCGGATGCCGGACGAGGAACTCATGATCGGAGACGACGCCGTCCACGGCGAGGAGGCTTATGCCCTGTGGGGCGACGGCGAGAAATTCGATCCCAGAAGGCACGGCAATGCGGCGGCGAATGTGGAAGAAGGAACTTCCCCGCCTTATATCAATGGTGCCAGAGGAGTAACCATCCCTTTGTAAAGTCGTCTTGGAATTTCTTGAATGTTTGAAATTTAGGAGCTTGAGAACACTATATGGCCCTTTTTCATCAATTTCTGCACAAGTTTCTTGGACAGAGAAGAATTGTATGTGAGATTCTTATTAATATTATTATTATTCTTTCAAAAAAAATATTATTCAGCGATTAACTTGTCTTGAATGAGCTCGATTAGTTAAATGTATATAATCACCAACAAATTTAACACTTAAAAAGCTATGCGCTCCATTTCAGATTTTAGATAAAGAATACAAGTCGGTGTAGAATAAGACTAACGATTTAAGTTTTTCACACATGGTTAACGTTTCTCAAATACATTTATGAAAGATTGAATTTTTAATTCGATTGTGATATCTCACATCGGCTCGATAATGGAACAAAGCATTTCGTGTGTAAAAATCTCTCCTTATTAAACACATTTTAAAATTGTGAGACTGCCGACTATATGTAACGGGCAAAAGTGGAAAATATGTGTTTGTGGTGGGCTTGAGTTATTACAAATGATATCATCAAGCAGTGTGCTAACGAGGACACTGGCCCCAATAAAGGTGGATTGTGAGATCAAATGTTGGGTGGATTGTGAGATCTCACATTGGATGGAGAGAAATAATATCCAGACATAACTGTGAGGAGGACAGCGATATGTAACGAGTTAAAGATGACAAAAATTGATTTTTTACCATAGTAGATAATATATATTTTATATATAAGTTTTATGGATAATCATGAAAAATGAAAATTAGAAAGAAAATCCTTAGCTTAGCATAACGATTTTATACGTAACAAGGATATGCTAAATGCGTAACCAAACAATCCATTTGCAGCGAATTTTGGGGGAGAGCTGATCGTGGAGTATTTTACAAGCTTCACTCATCGGAGGAAAAACGTCGGCGATGGGGATTGATAGGGTTTGAAGGAAGACGCAAAACCTAATTTAGAAATGGACATTGATATCGACGAAAATTCGACAGCCGAAGGTGTAAGATTATCTGTATTCTGTGTTTTCTGCGGATTTTCAGATCCGTCGTAAACGATGGAGATTCTTTTGCGATTTTCGTAACGATGAGTGTCTGTATTTTATAGGAAATGAACGGCGAACGAAGCTCATAATGGTGATATTAGTGGGTGCACCTGGAAGCGGAAAGTCCACCTTCTGCGAACTCGTAATGGCTTCCTCTTCTCGCCCTTGGGTTCGAATCTGCCAGGTTTCTCTCTAATAATGCACGCTATCTGTTTGATGAAATGCTTGAGACCTTATTTTATTAGTGAAACTATAGCTCGTTTTGTGCCAATTCCTGCCACTGTTTACACTCTGGTTCCATGTCTTTCTAAGTGCTTGCTTAATATCATTAGGGGAAAAAACTTTCGTTCTACAATTGCTTCATCACTAAACACTTGAAGTTCAATAACACAAAGAACTTGTTCTTCTCAGGATACCATTGGAAATGGCAAGTCCGGAACCAAAGCACAGTGTTTGAAGAGTGCAGCCAGTGCATTGAATGATGGAAAGAATGTATTTGTGGACAGATGCAATCTTGAAATAGAGCAGCGTTCTGAGTTTGTGAAACTAGGTAGCTCTCTAGTGGATGTACATGCTGTTGTATTGGATCTTCCTGCACAGCTCTGTATCTCCCGTTCGGTTAAGCGGACCGGTCATGAAGGGAACCTATCAGGTGGAAAAGCTGCTGCTGTTGTGAATAAAATGCTGCAAAAGAAAGAATTGCCGAACCTGAATGAAGGGTTCAAGCGTATAGCATTTTGTCACAGTGAAACGGACGTTCAATCCGCTATAGATACGTATAAATCACTTGGTTTACATGATGCACTTCCAGATGGATGTTTTGGACAGAAGAATGCAGACAAGAAAGTACAATTAGGCATAATGATGTTCTTAAAGAAAGCAGAAAATCCTGCTAAAACATGTTCTAATGCCAATACCATTAAGGATTTTCCAAGTTCTCAAACTACCCAGGAAAAGAAAGAGTCTTCCTGCACAATGTTGAGCAACGTCAATAAAGAGTCGGAGAAAGGCGAAAATCCAGGCATTAGATCCTTAGAAAACAATATTTCTGGAAGTGATCCTCCAACTCTTGCGTTTCCTTCTATTTCAACATCGGATTTCAAGTTCAGCCATGAAAAGGCTGCTGAAATTATTGTTGAGATGGTGGAGGAATTCATGGATAAGCTTGGGAATGCCAGACTTGTTATGGTAGACATAAGTCATGGATCAAAGATTTTGTCTTTGGTTAAAGCTAAAGCGGCCAAGAAAAATATTTGTTCCACCAAGTTTTTTACATTTGTAGGTGATATAACTAAACTCAAGTCAGATGGTGGATTGCACTGCCATGTAATAGCCAATGCTGCAAACTGGTATGCTTGTGGCATATTTATGTTTGTTATTTCTATGTATGAAGGCATTCATAGTATTATTTCCTCCGTCCATGCCTGTGCCATTGTATTATAATTGTTCATTCTCAAGCCTCTGAGATATTGTTAAATAATGTAAGAGAAAGTTATGATACTCTCATATCTATCATCTCTGCATTTAATTGGAGAATTCCTTGATCTGGTGAGAATTTCACGTTGTGGTCATGGAGATCTGGACTCGAATCCCAGCAGCCACATAATCTAGCGGTAGACTTAGGCTGTTACAAATGGTATTAGAGTCAGACACGGGGCGCTATTACAAATGGTATTAGAGTCAGACACCGGGCGGTGTGCCAGCCGGGACGCTGGCCCCAAGGGGGTGGATTGTGAGATCCCACATTAGTTGGAGAGGGAAACGAAATACTTCTTATAAGATTGTGGAAACCTCTCCCTATAGACGTGTTTTAAAACTTTGAGGGAAAGCCCAAAGAGAATAATATTTGCTAGTTGTGGGCTTGGGCTGTTACATCGTATACTTTCTTCGGTTGCCCTTGGATTTTGAACTGTATCTAAAGCCTTAACCTTGATGTTCTTATGTTTATGCTTAATGTTTTGATCTTGTATTTTACCCTCCCTGTGATACTCTCATATGTTATGCTTATGTCATTCTTCTTTGAACTTGAGGAAAATCGACAGTATTAGGCGGTATGTTTTTTACGATCATTATAAGGAAGATCCTTAATAATGATATCCCTGCAGGCGATTGAAACCAGGAGGGGGTGGTGTCAATGCCGCAATTTTTAGTGCTGCAGGTCCCAGTCTGGAAGAGGCAACAAAACAACAAGCCAAGTCCCTTCGACCTGGCAGTGTTGTGGCCGTTCAATTGCCTTCAACTTCTCCTTTGTTTAATAGGGAAGGGGTAACCCATGTCATACATGTTCTTGGACCAAACATGAATCCTCAAAGACCAAATTATCTCAACAATGATTATGATGAAGGTTGCAAGCTTCTTCGTGATGCTTATTCTTCTCTATTTCAAGCCTTTATTTCAATAGTAAAAGATGAGTTTAAGTCGGCGAAGGGAATTGACAAACGCCTTGGCTCAGCACCTTCAGAATCACGAAAACACTCTGAGGACACCCATCACAAGTTTAAGAGAGCGGAGTTCCAAATTCCTGAAAGAAGCAAAAAGTGGAAAGGAACTCAGGAATCAGCTGAAGCATTAAACCAAAACAACAATAAGATTTCCCACAAGATGAGTAAGCACTGGGGCTCGTGGGCACAAGCACTTTACAACACTGCAATGTATCCTGAGAGACATGCCAATACTGTACTGGAGACATCAGATGATGTTGTAGTACTGAATGATATTTATCCAAAAGTAATCTTTCATTCTTCGATCTATTGCTCGAGCGTTTAGTTGGAGTTATTGCTGTCTCGATAAATAAGAGACTTAACTTTGAACTTATTTTGCAGGCACGCAAGCATCTTCTGATAGTGGCTCGATATGAAGGCCTCGATCAACTAGCTGATGTACATATAGAACACCTTCCACTGTTGAAGACGATGCACGCCGTGGGTTTGAAGTGGATTGATAAGTTCATTCATGACGATGCATCATTGGTTTTTCGCCTCGGATACCACTCGGTAGGTCACTAGTACATTTGGAGGGGCTAATATATACACAAAATTCTGATGAACTAACTTTTCTGTGTTCTGTTTACTTTCTTGCAGGCTCCATCCATGAGGCAACTGCACCTACATGTTATAAGCCAAGATTTTGACTCCAGTCATCTGAAGAACAAGAAGCATTGGAATTCTTTCAACACCGATTTCTTCCGAGACTCGGTCGATGTTATAGACGAAGTCAGTAACCATGGAAAGGCAATCATCAAGGACGACGAGAGCTTGATGTCTATGGAGTTTCGTTGCAACAGATGCAGAAGTGCCCATCCCAACTTACCCAAATTGAAAACACATGTTTCCAAATGCCAATCGCCTTTCCCTTCCACGCTACTCGAGGGCAGTCGTTTAGTGAATGCTTCAGGTAATTCTCGTAACTCTCTTTCGTAGTTTTCATTTCATAATGTCCTCCATACAAAATTTTCTGGTTGTATATGTTTTGAGCTCAATATCTTTGGGGGGTTTATGTAGTTTAATGGCCTCAGGAAGCCTTAGTTAATAGTGTTCTTAATCACCTTTTAGCTTTCAACCAGTTCAGTTTTTCGGAGAATTTTGAAGCTTCAAGTTCCATTCGTTGATGATTTCTCAAAAACTTTTGTCGTATGTGTCTGATAGATCTTAATATATATTTTTTAATTTATGTTTTCAAATTATATATATTTTTAAAAGTTAATCTTTTGGTAAATGATTTAGACTTTCAACTTGAAAATATTTCTAATAAGCTCTCAAATTTCTAATTTTATATCTAATAATTCATATAACATTTTTTAAAAATTCACGATACTATTTTGTTCTATTAAATATAAATTTTAATTTTATGTCTATTATATTCATTAATCTTAATAAATGATAAATATGTTAAATGAAACTATTGAACACCATCATTAATTTAATTTAATTTAATTTATACATAAATATTATTTTATTAAATATTTAGAAGTATTAATAGTGAAAACTAAATTCAAGGGTAAAAATGTAAAATTTTAAATCTTAATTACTAAATCAAAATGAAATTAAAAAACCAAAGATGGGAATAAGTTAAAATCAACCTTGAAAGTCGTAAATATAAATATAACATTTTGAAACGTTTCCAACTACACAAGATCCAAAAGGTTATTTTTCCTATATATTCTACAACCCATTAAAAAAACAAATTTAAATATAATTACAAAATAAAAAATAAAAAATAAAAATTGCAAACAAAATCTTTTCTACAAGATAGAGAAAGGGAACAAAATAATTTAATTGGTGGCGTTGACATAAAAGGAATATAATTTTCAAAAGTCAGTATGATGCAAAAGTGAAATCCTCTAAAGAATAAATTCTCTTTTCATGATCCTATTTAATTCACCAAAATAGAAATAATTTATTAAATATTGGCCTTTTCCTTATTAAAGCAATTAATATCTTTTTTTTTTTTTTTTTTAATTTCAAATTGAATAATCGCTTTCAGGCAATGAATATTTATTTCTTCGGATTTTCTTTCCCTTTTTATAATTCTTTAAATTTGTACCTGGATTAAAATTTATTATATCTGTAGGACTAAACTATAAATTTCTCATGCCCTCAATATAAAAAAAGAAAATCATAGGGACTAAATTATAAAATTATAAAATTCATAGGGACTAAATTATAAAATTCTANAAAATATATATATATATATATATATATATTCAAGATTTTGAAGAAAGAATTTAACCTCTTTTTGCCGATAAAGCTATGTTAAAATTAGGGAACAAAATCATTTGATGGCCGGAGGAAGTTTAGGTTCTTGGAAGAAGTTGGAGGATTACACTTAAAGATTGGTATGTGTACTATAAAGCATGGTAGGATTGAGATGGTTGGAAGCAATGGAGGTTGGAAACGATTTAAAAACATACCTCTTTGTTTATGCAAAGAAACTTTCAAATTTATTGATGCAAAATGTGGTCTTATTGGTATCTCTTTGAATACCATTAATTTGTTGAATATATGTTTTTTAAAAAGACTCTCCTCTCTAGTCTCTACCCTTCCCCTTCCTCTCCCTTTCCTTCCCCTCAACCTCCTTTGCTGCTACTGCCGCTGGTACTGCCATTTGTTAGATTTTTTTTTTTTTTTTTTTTTTTTTTTTTTTTTTTTTTTTTTTGGGAAGACAGACAGGATCATAAGAAAAAAACTACAGCAAAGTTGACAACATTAATTGCGTCAAAAGATCTCTTTTATTTTTTGTTTTACTGAGGGTTGGGAGGGCGGCTGTTGGCAGCAGAGACTCTTGAGCCCCATTCCAGTAGCTCTTTGCTAGTATCATCCTTGTGAGCAAACACCTCAATGAAGCACAAGCAGTCCTTTTTGTCTCCGGTCGCGATCGAGATCGCCTCCACAAGCTCTTCCTCGCATCGAACCTGCAACGACGAACTCGTTCACGAAACAGAATTCCTTCCCCACATAACTCAAATGACCAACCAAATTCAATACCAACTCACCTTCGTCGTCCAACACTTTCCTTCCCCGTTGTGGATCGCATCGACCAATGCCGTGTAGTCCCAGTTCTTGATCACATTATAAGGCCCGTCGTGGATCTCAACTTCTATGGTGTAACCACCATTGTTTATCAGGAATATGATGGTGTTATGCCCCTGACGTATCATTGTTGATATGTCTGATACTGTCACCTGCAATGTAAATTAGTATCGATGATCAACCGATGATAGTTTTCCGATGGGGTCGAGCATCAAAGCTCGATCGAACCAATTCTTACCTGGAAGCTTCCATCTCCAATGCAAGAAATCACTCTTTTTTCCGGTACAGATTGAGCATATCCAAGAGTGGCACCAACTGACCAACCAATAGAACCATATTGCATTTGAAACTCATATCTACAAACCAAAAGAGAAAACCCCATTTCAAATCTGAACAGAAATGGTTGAACGAACGAACGAACGAATTTGAATATGCATTACCCGCAGCCTTTTGGCAATTTAAGTTTCTGGCAGTTAAACCAAGAATCTCCTGTCTCAGCAATCACAGCCGTTTGACTACTGATCATCTTCTGAATATGTTGGAACAAAACATTGACTCTCAAGGCTTCCCTTGGCCCAAATCTCACAGGAACGCCATCAGGAACAAAGATTCTGTGGTAGTTTTCATAAGAACTGATATTGCTCTTAATCCGTTTCGCAAGAGCTCGAAGGAAATCTTTCATTAGAACACAACCGAACGTTGGTCCATTGCCGATGGTCACACGTTCAGGCTCCACGATCACGGCCTTCTCCCTTTTGAGCAACAGAGAGTAGCCAACAGAGCTGTAGTCATTGAAGATTGGTCCAGCGAACAAGTAGGCGTCGGCAGACTCGACGATCTCGGCACAGAAGGCTGTACTGATAGCACCCCAGTAAGTTCCAATGAAATGAGGATGGTCCTCTGGTACAAGCCCCTTGGCCGATGGCATCACGGCCACGGCGTAGCTTGAAGCATCAGCAAGCTCCACAAAGGCATCACAAGCCTTGGAAACTCGCAATTTAGGCCCACCAACAAGCACTGGCTTCACTGCCTTGTTCAAGAATTGTGCTGCCGCCTCCACTGCAGCCTCTAGCCCAGTTGGATTGCTCATTCTGTTCAAATCACAGAAATCCATTCAATAATTTCAAACCAATTCAGTCCTTAGCAACCGTTTAATAACGAAAAAAGGGATAATTTTTAAGCTTAAGTTTCATAAACGAAAAGAACCCATTACTCGGAATCCCATATTAGCTAATTTAGGGAACGGTTATTAGCTTATAAGTAAAAAATAATCTCCATTGGTATGAAGCATTTTGGGGAAACACAAAGTAAAACCATCCGAGTTTATGCTCAAGGTGGATAATATCATACCATTCTGGAGGGTACGTAATTACTAACATAGTATCAAAATCCTTCAATGTCGTCGAACAAAGGATGTATTTTATTCGAGGACTACAGAAAAAGAGTCGAGCCTCGATTAAGGGGAGGCTATTCAAGTGAACCTCGAACATGTAGTCAAAAGTGAATCATGTGTCGAACAAAGAAAGTACTTTATTTGAGGACTCTAGAGAAGGAATCGAGCCTCGATTAAGGGGAGGCTATTCAAGGGCTCTATAGGCCTATGGGGTGAGGCAAAAAGGATGGTTGGGAGGGAGGTCCCGCATGGGCTAATTTAGAAAATGAAGACTCTAGAGAAGGAGTCGAGTCTCGATTAAGGGGAGGCTATTCAAGGGCTGTATAGGCCTCTGGGGAGGTGGAAAGGATAGTTGGGAGGGAGGTCCCACATAGGCTAATTTAGAAAATGATCATTCTGAGGACTCTAGAGGAGTCAACCTCGGTTAAGGAGAGGCTATTCAAGGGCTCCATAGGCCTCAGGGGCGGAGGTGGAAAGGATGGTTGGGAGGGAGGTCCCACCTGAGCTAATTTAGAAAATGATCATTCGAGAACTCTAGAGAAGGAGTCCAGCCTCGATTAAGGAGAGACTATTCAAGGGTTCTATAAGTCTCAAGGGCGGAAAAGATGGCTGGGAGGGAGGGTCCCGCATGAGCTAATTTAGAAAAAAGGATCATGGGTTTAATAAGTAAATAATAATCTCCATCACCGGAGAAGTTCTAAGCAAAGCCACTCGAACTAACCCTCAAACTGGACAATATCAAACCATGGTACAGCTTCTTAATTCATGTCATACAGAACTTACTTGGGAGAGATGTAAAATGGAACTGGATCACGGCTGAAGGTGGGATGAGGAAGCCCAGCTAAATTACAACTGATACTAATATAAACAGGCTTGCTTTCTTTCAAGGCAGTAGAAATGGCAGTATCAATCAATTCATGAGCATCTCCAAGATGATTCACCACAGCCTAAACAAGAACAAAATTTAGAACTCAAAAAAATAAATTAAATAAATTAAAATTATGGATCAAGATCTTGTTTAGTTTAGTACCTGATAGCATGTGACGGTTTGAAAGCATCGGAGTTCTTGGCTGAAGTCAGGGAGGCCAATGGTATGATGAAGGATTCTGTTTGTTCCATAATCGTTCGAATTAGGGCCACCCACGATGCAAATTACCGGCAAGTTTTCACTGTACGCTCCGGCAATGGCATTCAAGACGCTAAGACCGCCGACGGAGAACGTGACGACACACGCGCCGACACCGCGAGCTCTAGCGTACCCATCGGCGGCGTATCCAGCATTGAGCTCGTTACAGCACCCGACGTTGGTGAGTCTAGGCTCGTCGATTAAATGGTCGAGAAGGGTTAGGTTGAAATCGCCGGGGACAGTGAAAAGATCGGTGATGCCGATTTGGACGAGCCGTCGTGCCAGGTGGCCGCCGAGGGTGGCATCCCACGAGGTGACAGCGGCGGTGGGGACAGAGTCTTGGATGGTGGAAACAGAGCCATTGGATGGACAACAAACCACGTCATTGGCGGGTTTGCTAACGTCGAGGGAGCCGATTCTGGTGTCCATCGACTGAGAATCGGAATCGGAATCGGAAAATGGGAACTTGGGAATTAGAGAACGGTGGTTTTTGAGCGATGGAATGGAAATGAAACGAAGAGGTTTGTATATATACAAGACGGAAGTGGTGGCAGTGGCAGCTGGATGACAAAAAACCATTTACGATAAGCAAAAGCGGTTTTGGAAGAGAAAAACCACTTACTGCATTGAAAATCGGTTTTTAAAAAAGCACTTTTGGAGAGCGATGATCTCTGTGGATTCTCATGGGTTGGATTCCGTTAATCACTGCGAACGGAAGTTTCACGAGTAATCCAAACTGGCTAATTACCTTTTTGTCCTTTCCTTTGTAATTTATTATAATCCTCCATCGATTGCTTTTCAAGGCTAAATATGTCTTTCCGTCCTTACCCTTTCTTTTTATCCAAGAAAATAACCAGTTTACTAATATAGATTTTAAAATATAAAAAAGGTTCAATGAATGATTTTCTGTATCAAAATTTACACTTTTTATATTTTTCTTTTTCAAAATATAAAGAAATTAAATTAAGAAAGCACTCGAGTATGAAATATTTGGGATTATAATATATGTTTAGTCTTTTATTAATTATGTTTTTGAAATTAATAATAATAATCATGCATTATGCAAATTATAATATGACTTTTTTTTAAGGAGTTTAAATTAATAATTGAATTTTAGATTTTTCTTAAATTATAAAAGAATGTGGGACTAATTGATATGACAAGTGAGATTGTATTCTCTTCTTTTGGACAATTAGTTTGTTTAGCTATTTACAGAAATTTTGAAAACGTGTTGGTTTTATTTTTCAAAATAATTAATATTTTAAAAATATATCTGTAATTAATTAGATGAGTATAAACCTAGCTCAACAATATTTTAATATTTAAAAATAAAATAAAATCTAAGTCAATAATTAAAATATATATATATAATCNTTTTTTTTTTTTTTTTTTTTTTGTTGATAAAAAGTAGTAAATGGATAGATGAAAGGTGTGAAATTATATAAAATTTTCAATATGAATTGTTGAAAAATGTAAAATTAATATATAAATTTAGTAACCACTTTATTATACGTAACTAGATAGATATTAATATTAATAATTAGTATTAACACGAAACTAAATAATTGTAAAAAAAAAATGATTTAACATAAATATTACGATTAAATGCTTACATACACTTAATTAGCAAATGCTACCGTTCTATATTTGAATTTAAATTATTTTTCATTATTTTTAAATGATGGAGTATTTTTAAAGCATTGTTATTTAGTTTTTAACATTAAATTTATAAATACTATTTTGACTTATAAATTTAAATTTATTTTTTTGATTTTTAATTTCTAAAAATGTTTTAATAAATTAATCAAACCATTTTTTAAACAGAAAGTGAAGCTAGTTTCATCGTCAATGGTCCACGATGGCAGATTCCAATCGGTCAACTTTGGTCCGATCTGGCTGCATACGTTCCTTTTAATTGATATTTTTCACTCTTTTTTTTATTATTTTTATTTTTAAATGACAACATTTTAGAAGTGATTTTTCTGTTTTATAAGACAATAAATATGAAATTCCAATATTTATAATTAACTTAAAATTCCATTACTAACAGATTTTATTTGGATTATTGAAGGAAAATTAAGCATAATATTCTAATTAAACTGTGGGATATTCTCTATCACAAACGGAAAACTACTTTTTGTGCACGTTTTATACGGCGGCGTTTTGCATGCAATGGAACAGAGCAGAATATAATGGGCCCACCTATGTGCTAAGTTCCAAACGGCGTCGTTTGAAAGAAAACAACTTAAAGTTTTAAAAATGGTTTCTAATTGAATTAAATAATCCAAAATAAAATAATTAAACAAAATTTAAAATAATTTTATAAAACTGACTCCAATCTTTACACTTAATTTAGAAATAAAAACTTAATTTAAAAATATTTTAGTTTAAATTTTAAACATTTAAAAGGACTAATATTTACCCTATGTGGTCCCAACACTACACCACATCGGTTGTAAGAGGTATGAATACTAAAATAAACTTTTAAAAAATATTTTGATATTTTTAAAATTTTATTATAATTCTGTTTTAAAAATGTAATTATTTTAATTTTTTTTTTGTCTCGTTTTCATACACATTTTCAATATATTTACAACTCAACAGTTACATTTACAGATTTCTATTCTTTATATAATTATATTATAATTTTGCAAATAGTCACTTTTTAATATATAATTATTAAAATGAATGTTTTAAAAGTATACAGACTAAAATATTATTTCTTTTTTATATTTAAATATTAAAAAAATAGGAAACGCAGCCATTACTGGTTTTTCCTTGAAAGGTAATTCATTAAACCATACAGCCTGTGAATTTTGGAAAGGCAAAAAAAAAAAAAAAAAAAANAAACCATACAGCCTGTGAATTTTGGAAAGAAAAAAAAAAAAAAAAAAAAACAATAACATTGCTTTAATTAAAATAAATAAATAAATGACATAGATTTTATTCGTGGAGGGCAAGAAACATTGTGTCAACAGCGTCAATAAGTAGTTGAAATAAAAAATGAGAAGCAAAATTGGGTTGTTGTGGCGGTGAGTGAATGACGGCCACCTTTTGTTTCGGCGGTTTTGGGTAACCTGGTATTTGACTGTCTATTTAAGGTTGCCCCGGTCTGCATTTGTCTTCCGCGGACCATGTTTGCCACGTGTCACCCATGGCCATCTTTCACCTGAAACACATGCTCCACTGTCTCGCCTCGTTGTCATCTAACAGAAAAGATTCTAATTATTTGTTTGAAAAAAAAATTATTTTCCCACAAAATTACTTAGCTAATAAATAAAACAAATTAAAAAAAAATGTATTTAGCTAATAAAATCTTAAATATAAATAACACAAATAAAATGCTTTTTAGGAATATATATATATACTTAAATTAAGGTCTGAAGCCCAAAATTAAATTTAAATAAAATATTTTTATATTTGATGGTATATTTATAATTTAATTTAAACACGGTCAATTATGTTTTTAGAAACATTTTGGGCCCTTGGGCCTTTGGGCCTTGCTTGCATCAGATTGGACTATTTGAGTCCAATGGCCCAACATTTAAAGCCCAAAATCAAGTTGGCTCACTCCAGATTAAACCCGAAAAAAAAATTATGCCCAAAACTTTTCACTTTTAACACTTTCATTCAACTGTGCTTTATTCTCTAAATTCTTTGTGATTTGATATTTGACATGGACAGCCTGTAAATTAAAGAACAAGCAAAATCTTCGAGGGTTATTTATGTATTTATTTATTTATTTTATTTATTTATTTTATTTATTTATTTATTTACGAGAACTCATTAAGCACGGAACAAGAGGACAGGCTGGCTGCTGAACCATTTCTGTTCCGTTGAGAGTTCCAACTTTTCTTCCCGGGCCGCCATCAACACGCAACTGTAAGCATTCGTTCTTCATTCGTGGTGCTATATTTACCGGCGAGCTTTAAGGAAATGGCGGTCGAACTTCAGTAACAGCACTACGAGAGGAAGTTGGAGGAGTAAAGATTAACGGATAAGGGTTTCAAGACCGGAAAAATGGAGAATCAGGAAGCTCGTCGGTCGAATACGGAACAGAGATCGACGAAATCGATTCCTCCGTACATGAAGGCTGTATCCGGTTCTCTTGGGGGGGTGATGGAGGCCTGTTGTCTACAGCCGATTGATGTTATCAAGACTCGGTTGCAGCTCGATCGGGCGGGGGCTTACAAGGGGATTGTCCACTGTGGAGCCACGGTTTCTCGAACGGAAGGAGTTCGAGCTCTTTGGAAGGGATTGACTCCCTTCGCTACGCACCTGACCTTGAAATATGCGCTTCGCATGGGGTCCAATGCGGTGCTTCAGACGGCGTTTAAGGATTCCGAGACTGGAAAACTCAGCAATCATGCTCGTCTAATTTCTGGATTTGGTGCTGGGGTTTTGGAAGCTCTCGTCATCGTTACTCCATTCGAGGTGAGGTTACGTCTCTCTCTCTCTCTCTCTCTCTCTCTCTCGCAATAGCATATAATCTGCTACAATTCAACTCAGGTCTTCAATTTCAAATTCGAAGGATTTAGTTATGGAACACGAATCATTATTATTTGTACATTTAGAATATCGAATTCGAAATTACTCCTGAGGAAGGACGTGTTACCAGTTAATTAACCTCAGATTGGCGATTATGAAATTAATTCTTAGAATTAGAAATTGGAAATCGTTTGCTCTGAATATTGTTCTCGGGGTCGAGTTGAGGGCGCTGATTCTTATGAACAACGGGAAACCGTGTCGTGGACGATAGTTGGCACTGAAAGGATTGATATCGTATAATATAATATAGACACCTTTTGCTGACCCTTTAGTGGCGGCTTACATAATCAATTTAAAACGCTCGTCGATGGCCTTTGTTTTCAATGGAAGACTAGTCGTCTTATAATAGCGAATTGAGCTTTCAAATAAGACGCTGCCATTACCTTGTCAGGATGAATAGGATATATGTAATATATTACTTGTTTGTTGGTGCATTGGTAGTGGTGTTTTGGCCCATCTATACATTAGGAATTAATTAGTTTTCAAAAGGGGGAGGGTACATTATTACCCCTCTGCTCTTTCTGTATCTCTAAGTTTACGACATTAAAAATATTGTTATAGACATAGTAAGATCAAACAGAGCATATTGTTTGCCATTGAATGTTGTTTGGAGTCTGAGTTCCACGTTGGCTAAGAAAGGGAAAGATCATAGTTATATACGTAAAGATAACTATTTTCATTGTACGAGGTTAGGTGAAACCATAAAACAGAGTCTCGAGGACATAGGCTCGAAGTTCACAATATAAAAAATATGAGGGGTGCAATTGTCCCTAACCAATGTTACTTTTAGTTTTTGTGTCCATCTTCTGCAGATTTTGTACTTTAAGAAAGCATGTGGATGCACCTTTAAGCATGTGGTTACTCCCTTTAGATCCTAAATATTACTTTACTTTTCATTTTGCCTATTTGGCGAATGAAAAATTATGAACATATATACAGGTATTTACATATGAGATCTGATTTGCCTAGGTTTACATTTCTTTCTCGTTCCATCTGAAGCTTAGTGCGACTGCCAATGTGGTTGCTATGGTGGCCGGTGGACACAATCCATTGGTTAATTTGCAACTTTCCCAATTGGTTATGTTAGATCCCACATTAATTGAAGAGGGGAACGAAACTTTCTTTGTAAGGGTGTGAAAACCTCTTCTTAGTAGACACGTTTTAAAATCACGAGGTTGATGGTAATATGTAACGAGCCAAAGCGAATAGTATCTGCTAGCGGTGGCTTCGGGCGGTTATAGGTTAACTCCCATGTTTTCCGGTCTCTATATCAAATTATTTATAATGCAAATGCCTAGTTCCTTAGTACCGCCAATCTCCATCTTCCTATCAACATATTATCCTCCTTGCAAGTCAAAATGCATCTTTTTCTGATGTTAGTCATATATTAAGTCAGATATTTGCACCAAAGTGGCGAGTTAAGCAAGTATTCTGTATCTAGAGTCGATCTACATAATGTCTCAAGATGATAATGTCAATAATTAAAGACGTCGTGGAGTTAAATTCAACCTCAAAGGTTTGAGTACGATGAAAAGCTGGGCTCAGAGAATGAAATATTTATTTTCTTGCTCTTGTGGGTAATTCCACTGCATTCTGTGGATAAATTTGACTCCTTTCATCTCAAACTTTCTTTTCCTTTCGGTTTTGCTGGTCAATTAAGAGATATTTCTGTCCCATTACACTATTCTCTAGTGTGTAAGCAGGACTATATGTTAGTGTGTAAGCAGGAAGAAGTGTGGGATGACTAACATATTGGTGTGATTATTGTTGTGTGTAGGTGGTGAAGATTAGATTGCAGCAACAGAAAGGATTGAGTCCTGATCTCCTGAAGTATAAGGGTCCAGTGCACTGTGCTGGAATGATCATTCGAGAAGAAGGCCTCCTAGGGCTGTGGGCTGGTGCTGCCCCAACTGTTATGCGAAATGGTACCAACCAGGCTGCCATGTTTACTGCCAAGAATGCTTTTGATGTTGTTCTTTGGAACAGACACGAAGGGGATGGGAAAGTCCTCCAACCATGGCAATCGATGGTATCGGGATTCCTAGCAGGCACGGCCGGGCCTATATGCACTGGTCCTTTTGATGTTGTGAAAACTAGGCTAATGGCTCAGAGCCGAGGCACAGGTGAACTCAAGTACAAAGGCATGGTCCATGCTATCAGAACTATATACGCAGAGGAGGGTCTTTTCGCTTTATGGAAAGGGCTGCTGCCCCGACTCATGAGGATTCCACCTGGGCAGGCCATTGTGTGGGCTGTGGCCGATCAAATTATTGGCTTGTATGAGAGGAGACATCTTCATGATGCTCCCACATAATAGATCGGCAGTCCCTTAGAAATTTTAGTGCTTGCTTTGTGGCAGCTCTTTCGTGTCTGGGTAGTGCTTATTCTTTAGTTACCATTCTTAGATTCTTGGGAAGTTTCAGTGACTTCTTGTTGGTGGATGCTGTTTTGTGATGGATGATCTAATTTCTATGTGAGAATCCCACATTAGTTGGGATGAGAACGGAACACTTTTTTAAGGGTGTAGAAATTTTTCCCTAACAGACATGTTTTAAAACTTTGAAGGAAAATCCGAAAAGAAAAGTCTTAAATGGGACAATATTTACTAGCGGTGGGCCTGAGCTGTTACAGTCTATATAAACAATAATATTGACTTTTTTTAAGAATGCGCTATAGTTGAATTTGTTGGATGATGCTCCTTCCCTTTTTTCGGAAGAAAAGGAGGATCCGGACAAAATTGATGAAACGGAAGAGATCCGCGTGAATGGAAAGGAAAAAACTAAGAATACCCACCCATTGGTAATTCCATCAACTCTATATAGATATACATTCATAAGGCTATGTTGATGAGCTTGGCCGGTAACACGTGTGGAATGGAGGGCTCTGATTCCATAGTAGATTTCTTATCATTTAGAAGTAAATTGCATCAATGTTTAAATTCTTGATATGGACAAAGGTCGTATGGTCATGCTTTAATGTTTTATGTGAAATTATACGAATCATAAGCATGATCGGGATTCATGATTAGGTTGATTTATCATGTCGTTCTTGATGTTATGTGAGGATGGTTAGGGTTCACCAACTAATCTTTAGTCGTTAACTTGTCTCGATTCATGAGGGTTTATACAGTACAGTTAAAAGTTGGATATGATGTAAGGTCATTTTTTTATGATGACTATACAATGTAGGGTCGATACTTAACTTTTAATAGTGAAATCGTTTTGATTAATGGATGTCTACAATAATACCTTATATGTTAACGAGTTTCTATGGATAGTGTTAGGCTCTAAGATGAATGAACTTTTAGTATCATATGAGTATTATATCGGGGAGATTAGGGGATCTCCAATTATTCCTTAGTTGTGATCATGTTTAGACGAGAGCAAGAGTGCATAGGTAGATGATGGTTGGCAGGTTCAAGGGTTGTCCCTCCTTGACGACAACAACGACGTTGTGGGGCCTATTAGAGAGACACTAGCTAACATCTAATAAAAAACTATCTCGATTGATACTGTCTATAGAGGTATGACGAGATTATGAATTCGAACCACGACGAAGTCACACTTTGAGTGCCTATGACATGTAGGCTGATTATGATAGAAGCGATTGATAAATTACTAATTAGACTATCCTAGAACTTTAAGACGTTCACTTGCGACGACTTTTTATATATATATATATATATATATATATATATATATATATATATATATATATATATATATTATATGATAAAATTGAATCATTAAGTATTAATTAATATATTATTTACCAAATTATGCTTAAATGGGTGGCTTAGAGTGTTTTAAGTTGTACCATACAAATGAGGAACTAATTTCTAAAAGATTTTCTCTAATTAAATGGAATGAACAAACTAATAAATTTTAATATTATTTTCGAAAAACATGTCTTAAAAATAAATGGAGAAATAAAGGGAAATAGACAGGTAATACAAAATTATGTTTTTACCTAAAATCTCCATGTGGTGGGGCCCACAGCATCATTGCTAAAGAAGGACGCAACCAAAACCCTAGACCATAATTGGAAACGAAATCTTATATAAAGCAATCTAAGCGCGGCCTCACCGATCGTAACCCTAAATCTTTCTTCTGGGTCTTCCTCTTGTTCTCTATCGAACAACAGAGCTTTATCCTAATTTGCTTCACTTCCCTCTCTCCGCCGTTTTCAATCCGTTGGTTTGCTTGTTCTTCGCCGGCGTAAATGATGTCCGACGAGGAAAGGGAGGAGAAGGAGCTCGATCTTACTTCTCCTGAAGTAGTCACCAAATACAAGACCGCCGCTGATATTGTCAACAGTAACTCTCTCTCTCCCGTTCTTTATTTATCTTTTTTTTTTTTTTTGGTTGGTACTCTGTTCTCTGATGTTTGTATTGTTGTATGTTACGAGGAAATGAGGCTTAAGTGATCAATTGGATAATTTTGCAGGGGCATTGCAGTTGGTGATATCGGAATGTAAACCAAAAGCGAAGATTGTTGACATTTGCGAGAAAGGAGATTCATTCATTAGAGAGTAAGAGCTAGTTTTCTTAAAGTTGAAGAAACTGTTAACTTCGTCTTTATTGCGTTTATCCAAGTCACTTGAATGTTTGGATTGTTCTTCACTGTTAATCGATCAACTGCCTTATTTATTTGGATGCTCCCTCTGTTTTTTCTAATAGACAAACTGGCAATGTGTACAAGAATGTTAAGAAGAAGATTGAAAGAGGCGTTGCTTTTCCAACTTGCATTTCTGTTAACAACACTGTTTGTCACTTCTCACCACTTTCCAGCGACGAGACAGTTATGGAAGAGGGTGATATGCTTAAGATGTAAGCTGTACTAATGCCTTTGTATTTTAGTTGTTGAATTAATGATGGAAGGATAACCTAATGGAATTTTGTCTTTATGCAGTGATTTGGGTTGTCATATTGACGGGTTTATTGCTGTAGTCGCTCATACTCATGTGCTCCAAGAAGGTCCCGTTACAGGAAGAGCTGCTGATGTAATTGCAGCTGCTAACACTGCAGCTGAAGTTGCCTTAAGGCTTGTGAGGCCTGGAAAAAAGGTGACCTATTATTCTGTTGAAATATAAATGTTCGTTGTGTCATTTTCTATAAACATTTGGGTCTGACTGGTCAATCTAGTCATGAATTTTTTAGAAAAATATCTCGTGAATGTTCGAATATATTTAAGTTTATATGAAATGAACGTTAATTTTTCTGTTTATTGGAAAGGCAGCTTTGCCGAGGCAATCAGTTGATTTTTTTTTATTTCCTATTTTCCCTGTTGCGTACATGGAATCTGGCAATGTTTGGAATATTTTGGGTGGGCATGTGATTTGTGATCAAACATAATATTCAACATTGGGCCAAATCAATTTAGTGTGGTTCTTTATCTGTTTTTCTCTAGTCAAAACCCATTATCCAATATATTTAAGTTTCTATGAAATGAATGTTGATTTTCTGTTTATTGGAAAGGCAACTTTGCTGAGTTTTTCTGTTGATTTTTTTATTTCCTCTTTTTCATGTTGTCTACATGGATTCGGACCACATTTCTAATAACGTTAGGGCCGCATGTTATCTGAAGTCAAACGTATTATCCCATATTAGGCCAATTCATTTTAGTGTTGTCTTATAATTGTTTTTCTGTGCTAAATTCTTCTTTACAATCATATTAGTGTACACTAAGGTCTATGGTAACAGGGTCTCTACTTGATGACAACTATAATGGCTATGGATTGTATACGAAGCCTTTTTATGTCATAGTCACACTGATAGTGTATCATGGGCTTGCAGTGGTTTTATTTCAATGTCTAGGAACTTGGGATAAGTAAATCTTTAAACACATGTTTAAGATGTTTTACTCATTTTTTCCAAGTATTGCCAAGATAACCATGTGTGTTCGCCCTAATGGAAAAGTTGAGGAACATGCTGTCATGTTCAATTTTTTACTGATTTACTTTTCTATTTCTTTCGTAACTCATTTGGTAAGGCTATATTTTCCAGAACAAGGATGTTACAGAGGCAATTCAAAAGGTCGCTGCATCTTATGACTGCAGAATTGTGGAAGGTGTTCTTAGCCACCAGATGAAGCAGTTTGTGATTGATGGGAACAAGGTTGTATTAAGTGTTGCCAATCCTGAGACGAGGGTTGATGAAGCAGAATTTGAGGAGAACGAAGTGTATTCAATAGATATTGTAACAAGCACAGGTGAAGGAAAGCCTAAGTTGTTGGATGAGAAGCAGACAACTATTTATAAGAGAGCTGTGGACAGGAACTATCATTTAAAGATGAAAGCCTCTAGATTCATTTTCAGTGAAATAACTCAGAAGTTTCCTATAATGCCTTTCACCGCTAGGTTTGTTATTGTTTCAAATTGTTGATAATTTCCACTTCTGCCCCACTTCTTTTATGTTTATTATCTCATAATTGCAGGGCTTTAGAAGAGAAAAGGGCTCGGCTTGGATTGGTGGAATGTGTTAACCATGATCTTTTGCAGCCATACCCTGTTCTTCAAGAGAAGCCTGGTGAGACTGCTCATGTCTTAGCTTAGCTGCCTTCTGGCCTAAGCTTGAATAGTCTGCTTTTGTTGCAATAACTAAATTCTGTGTTTATCAGGTGATTACATTGCTCATATCAAATTCACCGTTTTGCTGATGCCTAATGGATCTGATCGAGTCACATCTCATCCTCTGCAAGATCTGCAGCCTACAATAACGACGGATGATCCTGAAATCAAGGCATGGTTAGCATTGGGCACGAAGACGAAGAAAAAGGGTGGTGGAAAGAAGAAGAAAGGTTAGCTCTCCAAAGGAAAACCTCGTGTTTTCAATTATTTTTTCTATAAAGCTTCATGTTTTTAATCTTGAATTGCCTTGCATGGTTTTTTATATTATAGTAATTACGGTTAAACATTGGTTTAGTTTTGTGTTCAAACTGACACCAAGGTCCAATATTGGATCTATCTACCTTGCATGGAACCCATTGGTTTGAGTTACATGTGAAAACTAATCCTATGGTTCAGTAGTCTTGGCTTTCTGTTTCTGACCACTTCGACCAGCCTAGATATCTATCTGGTTGCTGTTTTAGAAATTACTAAGTTTTTTGTTGGTTAAGAACATTGTTCAGTTATCTTTCTCATAGAATTTCATCTTATGCACCTTTACTCCATTGTTGCTGCAGGTAAGAAGGGTGATAAGACAGAGGACCCTACAAGTGCTGAGCCCATGGATACCACAGCAAATGGCGCTGAATCTCAAGAATGAGCAGTCAACAACAACCACACCCAACAAAAAGAAGAAAAAAAAAAAAAAAATTCCCCTGCCTTTTTATATCTTGGAATTTGGCTCTGCCCCCACTGTGTATGAGTAGGTGAGTGCGGTAGCCAGAGTGAAGTGGTGAACGTTCTTTATTGGGTATTATTATTAATGAATCCAACTTCTTTTTTGTAAGCTCGACATACTTGGGTTTTTGATTTCAGACTCCATAGACGCAGGGAGATGTGCCACTGA